GTATACCAACATACATACCAACATTATTTGTTTCTTTTCATAGACTGATTTGCAGTTAACATTTTTTATTACAATAAAATTTGCTCTATAAACTCAACAAATTCAATTAATTTAACTCAAGCAATACAAGACAGCGTTGAGTTGTCATAAATCATAAAGATTCTAGATGGTTATGTCTATCTCATTTTTCGGTCCTAGTGAAACTAACTCGAACTTGAATTATCGTAAACACCCATTGTCACATTGATAGCGCAATTTATTGTGGAATTTATTTTGATTTTCCGCTTCTAATAGCGTTTTCGAATAAACGGGGTTTGAACGATCTAGGGTTGATCAATCACTATTTTACTATAAATGCAAGTCTTTCATTGGTGGAGAGGTTGCAATGACGTCATTAACCAATCTTGGGTCGTTCAAATCCTGTATAATCGAAAACGCTATAATGCGTTCAATATCGTTCCGTTTCAAAGCATGTATCATGCGCATAATGAAACGAAACGCAGCCAATGCGCTAAGCATTAGCGATGCGAACGATGCGTGCTATGCGCAAAACGGAACGCAACCTATATACCATACTTGAAGGCGCACAGGCTACCCCCTCCATTTGACAAAACGGTCAGACAAGGCAGTGACTCGGTACCGGATTTCTCTTTCTATCTCATCTACTCTCGATAATAGTAGCTGTGAACACGTGACCGAGACTGTTGGTTAGATAGAGAGATCCGGGTCCGAACAGCTATCTCCATCTGACCGGTCGAGAACAAAGGCGAGCTTGTTCCAGTATGGTATATATTTCAATGGGCGACATAGAGACTTCTACATAAAATTCCCTAATAAATTAGAAAAGGGCGGCAACATAACAAAACTTTGACATATGCGATTGTTCGGTAGCAGTTCTGCTATCTTTTACGTATGTAGTATCTTTTTTCATTTTCTCTCATCAATGACAACAATCTGGTAGAATCGTGTCAATTTTATTCACGCATATGAATGAATGGCAATTTGCAGTTCACAATTTTTAAACGCTTAGAAACAAAGTTACATATATGTTTTTGTTGCTAATTGCTGCTAAACGGATATAAATATATAGATTTGCCATTTATTTGCGTGCCTCTATTATTGCTAAACAATCATAAAATGGGATCATTGACGAGCAGACAGAATGCTGGTGTCGAAGAAGTGGATATCACTTCGAATCATGCGTATAAATATCCTCCACGATCTGGTATACAGTTTACTTTAATTTTATGTAAAATTTATACAAAACTGCTTTAAATTTTACAAAATTGATGGATATGTAATATTCTTGGCAATATTAGTTTAATAATGCGTCAAATTATTTTAGGTTCCTATTTTGGCAGTCATTTTATAATGGGTGGCGAACGATTTGATACACCACAACCTGAAGCGTATCTTTTTGGGGAAAATGCGGACTTAAATTTCTTAGGCAGTCGACCAACTCCTGTATGATATAATTGCACAATTTAAAATTATTTTGTATGTCAGCAAAATTTTCATATGAAGAATTTATTTAAATATGGACATATATATGTATACGGTCATGTATGTTATTTTCTTTATTTCTTGATTGTAAATTATTTATTATTCTTGCAGTTTCCATATCCTCCACCACAAGCAAATGATCCGACAAAAACATTAAAGAGTTTAGTGAATATTCGGAAGGAATCTTTAAGGCTAATTCGTAATATAGATCAAACATCGACGTCTTCACAGTATCACAATGTTAAACATTATGGAGATGGTGACATTGACAAGAAACCCAATCGTTACAATATTGAATTTGTGTTTGACTGTGATGTGAGATGTGCGATAACAATATATTACTTTTGTACAGAAGAAGTTTCAACAAAGGGAGTTGTGTATGTGTTATATTTATTATATATATTACATTATAAAAGATATTTTATAATGAAAACATTTAGTAAACAAAATATGCATTATAGATACATACCAAGAGATCCAGCTATGAATTCTGATACATATTATTATAAGAAAGGAGCAAATCAATTATTTGCACAAGCAACACATATATTTGATCCAACATTGTATATGGAAGAAGATCTGATATATAACACAGACAAAGAAGTATGTATCAATAAAACGTATAATTAAATGTATGTATGTATAATTAAAAAACATATTTACATATATATTTGTATATATATGTTCTGAAGATTCGTATTTTAAAAGAAGTAAAATAAATATTTCTTTATAGATTATTCCAATAGCTATACATTGTGTAGCAGAAGAAGGATCCGACGATCCCAAACAATCTCATACAACTATAGCAGTGGTTGAGAAACATTCCGATGGAACATATGTGCTGAAAGCACTTAAGCAGAAACTTTATGTGGACGGCCTTTGTTATTTATTACAAGAGATCTATGGAATTGAAAACAAAAATACTGAAAATGCAAAAGTAAGAGAATATATGATAATATTTGACAAAGTTTATATTTTGATCTTTTGCTTCTCTTTATAGCAACAAGGCAGTGATGAGGACACTGAAGACAATGGTTCCGAATGTGTTATTTGCATGAGCGAAGTACGCGATACGTTAATTTTACCATGCAGGCACTTGTGTTTGTGTAATTCCTGTGCGGATTCTTTGAGATATCAAGCGAACAACTGTCCGATATGTCGCGCGCCATTCAGAGCGCTTTTACAAATTAAAGCTCTTCAAAAGGCGATTGGTACTATTATATCCAATCCACCATTGCCAGAGGTGAGAATACTTGGATAATTCTTACATGCTTTTTTTGACAATCATTATCTTGAACAAATTTTTTTGTAGAGTCTGAATTAGTTCAATTACAACTTCTTTATTATTTATAATAAACTTATTAAGCACACTTAAAATGTTGGATTTTTATCAAAATTATACTGCTACAGGGAAGTTGCGAGAATGTTCCAGCAGGCTATGAAGCAGTGTCTTTGATAGAAGCTTTAAATGGACCTTACACTCCACGAACTGCTATCATTGTGCCAGAATCTCCGGATACACCTGACACTGATACAGCGAGTGCTATTCAAGCCGCGGAAACTTTAAATCGGTACATATGAACATATTTTTTAAAGCTTTTTTGATATAAACAATTTATTTAAAAAAAAAAAACATGACACTTTTACAGCTCGGCCGAGCATACTCCAATCTCAAAACATATATCCGCCAAAGAATCTGATTTGGCGAGATCTAGCAGCACTACTTGTCCGACTCCCGAATTCCGAATGTCTGTATTATTGGCCAGAGATGAACATTCGAGTTCTCAAAAAGAACTACACAACAGATCTCCGGCTATGCGAACCAAATCAGTACATTCACGCGATAAATCTGGTTTACGAACACGTGATACCTTGAGATTGGTCAACGAGAAGCAACCAGTTTCTTTATACGAGGTATGCGATTCTTACACAACAAAAAAATTTGAGCTGTTTTTAGCGAATGTACAGCTTTTTTAAATTACGATCTCATTTATGACTTAAAAACGGAGAAAGAAAATTTATAATTAATTGAAGTAAATTCTGAGCAAGACGTATACAATCAATTTTAGCTCGTTAATAAGTTAATTTCATAATTAATTAATCATATTTTACATTTATTGCACTATATATTTAAAGGGCCAAGGGCAAGATGAAGACAGCGAAGCGGAGAAATTATCACCATTATTAGATGCAGCTACAAGTACTGAAGCTTTAGATGTACATTCCCATAGAATATGTGATATTGATATTGATGACGAAATTCAAAATGTGGAAAATGAAAATGATACAGACATGACCTGTCACTCGCATTAGGAGATAGTCGATATAATTTTGCATATGTATTCATACTTGTTAAATATTGTTTAAGGCTTTTAACCTTTTGCTGCATCATGTCGCAAACAAATTTATATTATTTTTTTGCTTTTAATGTTATAATTCAATATGGTTATAGTGAGGAGAAACCTTGCAGTTTTTAACAATTTTGTATCTTTTGTGTAAAGTATAACTACAAATCATTTATTTATTTAAATTACTTATTGTAACCATATCGAATCATGAAGGCATAAATCGAAGATCGCATGTAATTTATTTCCTTTTGTTATACAATATTTATTCAACTTAATGCGTAAAAAGATAAAAATACTTATAAAAACAGTAGGAACTAGTTGCAGATATAAGAAATTTAGAACTTTCCGACGAATCGTATTATTATAAAAAATAATAAACTTGCAATTTTATGTATTTTAACAAAACATTAAGCAAACGTACACTATATATTTATTAAATATACTTTTTTTATATTTTTATTTAAATTTGTATATTGTAGAAATATAAAAAATATTGCATTTAAATTCTTGTGGCTTTACGTATAAGTTGGTTTCTTTTAACCATCGAAAGAACTAATGAAAAGTAAGTAATTACGTGCGATTTCCTATTATAATTTCTTATACTCTTGTTATTTTGCATAATAACATTTTTCTAATATACCCTATGTACCGTTGCGTTAAATCCAAAATATTAATAGATACTTTCTGTTATTCTGTCCATTTTTACTACTGTAAAGAAGTGAGTTGCAACAAATTGTATTTTTTACAAATTTGCTTACAAATATACTTTAATTATTAGTATTTAAAGAAGTATATTTGTTTATTATATCTCTGAAATTGTAAAGACCGGTAGCATTTGTTTAAAAAAATGACGATATCTTTTAAACAGCAAGATGTAATTATGTTAAATGTATTGATATTAGATAATAAAAGTGCTTCTGTTTTATTTAATCCTTATAGACTTGTTTCGTAAAGGATAAAAAAAGAAGGTATAATATAAAATAGGTGGCGCGCGCGCGTTGTGTGTGTATGTGGTTATATATAGATGGTGTAGCCAAAAAAATGGATCGATATCTAAAGAAGATATCCTCATTTATTATATGTGGTGCGTGCGTGTCATTTATGTATACATATATAAACTAAATATTTGAGATAGGATTTCTCTATATCCATATATATTATATAAATTAGTTTAAGTTTACTCAAAATACACAAATACTTTGAAGGAAATATCTTTAGTCTATATTTATTCATTTATTTCACTTGTAATATGCAAAATCTCTACTTTACTTGGATCTAATAAAAAAATTTGAGTCTCTCACTTTTAACATTATAATTTGATGTAATTACAACAAAAGATCAGGAGTTTTGTAATTTACTTTAATACAAGTAATTTTGTTATCAAATTATCAACAAAATAATTTTAGTTGAGGAAGATTTGAAAGAAAGAGAGATGTTTAATCTGACAGTATCTGTTTTAAATCTCTATAAAATAGAAAATGATAATAGTTGCACTTTTAGATTGTTTTAGGTTTCTTTATAAACAAACATCAAACATTTTTTTTATAATTATTTTATTCAATTCCATGTTTAAAATGTTTTGTGCCTATTTAGGCTGCAGCGAGTACCTTTCTGAATTTCTTCCATTCTTCGAGCGGTCCATGCTCAGGTAAATATTTGACATTGCAACCATCTGGCGCAAGACGGCCCGCCGTTTTCAGTTCTTCGTACTCAGCACGATCATATTTCGTGAAACCCCACTTCTTCGACACATAAATCTTTTGACGACCAGGGAACTTGAATTTAGCACGTCGTAAAGCTTCAATGACAGCTGCCTTATGACGATCAGAGGAACGTACACTCATAATAGGCTGTCCAATATGTACCCTAGCCACAGTACCCTGAGGTTTGCCAAAAGCACCTCTCATTCCAGTCTGGAGCCTATAAAATATCATTCCAGGTTATAGAAATTCATCAAATAATGCATATGCTAAATCATAAAGTAGATTAAAATTGATATTTTGGAAAAATTTCAAAAACTATACTTTGAAAAAAAGAAATAAAAATTTTATTCTTATATCAATTACATACCTATCAGCTCCAGCACATGATAACATTTTGTTGATACGAATAACATGGAAAGGATGGAGTCTCATACGAATATGGAATTGATCCTTGCCAGCATTTTTAACCATGTACTTGTTGGCACAGATACGTCCAGCTTCCAAAGCTTCAGAACTAAGTTGTTCATACTCATCTGATACCAAATGCACGCATAATGGAAAGTCCTCGACAGATGCTTTTTTCTTACCGAGATCAAAAATACGGATCTTTGGATCTGGTACACCACGACAAAATCTAGATTTTGGGTACGGCTTATTTTTGCAGTACCGATAACTGTAAAGAAATATTCTTAATTATTATATTACGCAATATAAAGCAATCACAATTTTCTAATGCAAGATGTGAAACAATATAAAAATTTATAAAAATCTATACATATGGAAAGCAATTATAAACAAATATATGTATATCTTATATAAAAATTCCGTAATATTGTAAAAATATTATAAAATTTGCTAAATAAGTTGTAATTGTTGAAGATTAGTTAAGTTTGATCACATACCACCTCGCTGGTCGGCGCCCCATTTTAACCTAAAATTGTACAAAGTTAATATTTAAAATAATAAAAAAACATTAATTAATGATATCAGAACAATTTCTAGAAACGCGATATACAAAAAGATATCTAATGCATGTTACGATGCTAGAAGATAATAATGGATAAAGAAAAGCAATATCTCACCAACTCCAAATGAAGCTAAAGAGGCCCTAGAAATAAAAGAAACGTTGCTTCAATAACGTGACTTTCTGCAGGATGAAAAGTTAGCTGGTGATTGGTTACAATTGGCACATAACCAAGATTAACAACCTTTATTGCAAAAATCCCAAACTAACATTACCAATCAATTAATAGGGAAATATTTTTCCCTATCTCTATAATTATGGAGAATTCACACTGCGTCCGATATCCGACGTACAACGTCCGGTATCCAATAATAGAGCTTGTTTTCTAGACGATAAAATATCTCTAGCTAGAATTTCTAGAAAACAAGCTCTATTATTGGATATCAAACGTCATACGTAGACGCAGTGTAAATCCTCCAATAGAGCATCGAATGCTGGATTCACACTGAGTCCGATTTCTGACGTATGACGTTTGATATCCAATAAGAAAGATTGTTTTATATAAAACAAACTCTCCTATTGAATATCGTACATCGTGCGTTGAAAATCGGACTTAGTGTGAATTCAGCAGAACATATGAGGTTTGTTCGCGTTGCATGCTTCAATATGCTCCTACTCGCTCCAATATGCTCCAATCTATAGTACTACGTTACGTACACTATAGATTGGAGTATATTGGAGCGAATTGGAGTATATTGGAGCGCATGTTGAAGCTTGCGACGCAAACAAATCTGTAATTTTTTCCGAGGAGTAGAAACATGAAAACTGATAAGTTAAGGGTCGACAGGAATGAAACTAGCACCTCTGTCGGAATAGAAGTAAAGCTAGAAATCGTAATAAACAAATTTTGGTCATAATTACGGCAAAAAACGCATAGTAATTATAATATTTATATTCAGAGAAAGTATACGCAACTTAGTAAAGAGCGATTTTTTTGGAAAAATAGTTTTAAAAAAAATTTTTTTTATAAAAACGTGTACTTTAATTTTATTTTTTATTTTTAAGGATCATATTGCAAAATCGGATTCTTTACTAAGTTGCGCAGTTATATAAGGAATATATTTTTAAAAAATCACGACAAAATATTACTTCTCCGAGTCACAGTTTGTTTACTACGAAATCGCTAAATTTGAACGATTTCTATGCTAACATAGGCTGCGTTCCCATTTCGTCTCACTCAGTGCAGTATCCAGTGGCCGCCATTTTGCTGGATACTGCACTGGAGAAGTGTTCCCAAATTACTGGACTGGCTAGTGGCTAGTGACAGTTTCGAACACGTATTAGCTCATAACCTAAATAAAATTGTTAGTTAATATGTAAATAGTGTTGAAGCAATGGGCGCGTTCAGCAGAACAAATCGCTTGGTAGCAATCGAACATAATTGGCTCTTACTTTTAGAACCAACAAATCAACGTTAAGTGTTGACTAGACGACAATTCAGCAGTTGTTCTGCTGAACGCAGCCAATTATTGCCAGTAAAGATTATTATATTGATAAATAAATATTTCAATTAGCAATGTATTAATAAGTGTTAGCGTTATTTTTAAATATTATAACAACGATTATACCGATTATTTGTTTGTATAACTTCACATTTAAAAACAATAAATTATTGTATATAATGTTTATTGTATATAATTAGTGTACATAATTTTATTTTTTTAGTACACATTGATTTTGTTATTAACGTGTTGTAATTATTCTGAACGAGGTACGATTGTCACTAGCCAGTCCAGTAATTTGGGAACGCTTCTCCAGTGCAGTATCCAGCAAAATGGCGGCCATTAGATACTGCACTGAGTGAGACGAAATGGGAACGCAGCCATAGCTACTTGACAAGAAGAAACAAACACTTCGCATAAGCGTAGCAAGACTAGCAAGCGCCCGCTTATCGTACTTTTTATATTTGCATATGGATATATGTATATAAATTGTTGATAAATATTATATATATATATACTGAAATCATTTAAAGATTGATAATAATAATTAAATAATAATATACAGGGTAATGAAATTTGTTATCGAGAAAATACAAGTGCCTTTTACTTGCTAAAACATTGCATGTAATATTTATGAACAATTTATATACATACATACACATATTTGCACACATATATGCATACATACATACGCAAATATGAAATGTATGATAAACGGGCTCTCGCTAACCTTACTACGCTACTATCTTCTGTCGCAAGACGACTAAAAAGTATTTTCAACACATACTTGTATTTTGGAAAGCTATTACAGAAGAGACAAGGATCTGTCTATTCTTGTTCTTAATTTCTTCGCATGAGGTCCCCAAAATCAATTCGGACTCGGGCCATCACTCCTGTCGATCCTTAAGGCAGACGCGGATTTACGTATTTGCCGCTTGGAGCTAAAAAGGTAGCTGCCACTCCTTATGTAAAGGTCTATGTCCACGATGCTGGAAATCGGTTCGAGAAATGTATATCAGGAAGTTGATTTTAAAATATAAAATAAAGAACTGACTCAGGGCTATACTTATTAAATAATAATCGACTTTAATTATACGGATTTCTAAAGTAGATACATAAAAAAATTATTTTTAAGTAACATCAAATTTTATCATATAAATCGTTTTTATCATATAAGTTTTTCATATAAGTTGCAATCTGATGTCAGTTGATATTATCATAACTAAAACGAATATGTACTTAATCTTTTCATACACTAACTTTATCATATATCGTTCTCGGGCTCAGCTTAATATATTTATAATCGAACTCCTATTTCTCTCGCAAGAAAGTTTTCGGTGGGCGCGACGCACCGCGGCGTACGGCTGAAGCGCGGTCTTAATATCGGTCCTTTTTCTTACAATTTCGTTCTTTCTCTCTTTCTTTCTATTAAAAAAAAAAAAGAGAAAAAAAATGCTTCGGAGCATTTGTAACGGCAACTCGACCGCAGTCTATAATGTACATTAGTTCTCAGCGGGATGCATATTAAAAACAAAAAATTAAGGAAATGATAATTATACATAATTAAGCTTTGCTAAAAATATTCTGTATACGGATCTGATTCTGCCGCTCCTATATATTGCCGCACTGGGCTATAGCTCGTTAAGCCCATACCTAAATCCGCACTTGCCTTAAGGCCATTACATAAAACAGCGCTCGGAATTAGTTGCACAATTCGGGCCGATTCAGGAGACGACGCCTCCTGTCATTGAGTAAAAAGAAACAGGAGGGAGCGTTTGGTCTTAAAAGTGCGGACGGAAGTGACTATATAAAGTGGTCGCTCAAGATGGCCGCTCAAGGGCACCAATATTGAATGACTTGTTATGTTTAATTAGGAAATAATGTACAATTAAAAGAAAATAACTATAATATGCAACAATAATACCAAATTTTAATGGCGTTTTTCATTGAGATTGCACTCGTGCAGTATTTCCATAAGAGCAATGTTAAAATCTAAAATCTAAATTTATATTAAATCCTTCGTCCTTACAAAAATTTATCCATGCATTTCTTTGATCCGGATTTTTCGGAAACCTGTTTGTGAATGAAAATTATTTAGTAATTATTGTGAATTTACAATTTCACAATACTATACATATGATTATAATCTCCAAAATAAAAATCTCATTATTGTTGATAATACTAACCGATGAAACGTTATTCCATGATTTCGAGCTGCTGCTGTTATGCCACAAGCTCTACAGTATACCATTTTGATCGTTTATTTCCATACACTGTTGCATAAAAGACTATACACTGCATATTAATGCGTACGGCGTACGGTATGCCGCTTACCGCAATGCTCGAGCATTCCCTCTTACTTTCAAAAAGTGGTCGCTCAAGATGGCTGCCATGACGTACATCCGTCCGCGGATTTACCTAGTCCTGGCTAGTATATGCTCCCTCCTGTTTCTTTTTACTTAATGCCTCCTGTTCCTCTACTACCGCCCGGCCGAGCCGCCGATAGCTCTGGTTCAGGAGCATTTTATATTAGAAATAGGCTGAATTGTTTAGGCATCTCTCAGGAAATCGTAACATTTTCTTCACTACATAAATAATGTTATTTCATTAATACATAATATATATATTTAATTATTAATGAAAATAAACATTATTTATGTAGCAAAGAAAATACCCAGACAGCACAACATATCTAAAAGACGTCCAAAGGATATTCCAAAGACGTTTTTGGGATGACAGAACGTCCTCTGGATATCCTTTGGATGTATTTTGGACATGTGTGCTGTCTGGGTATTACTATTTATTACTTACTAATTCAGAGCGCTGTGATACAGCTAGGTAAGAAAATAGTAAAATATAATATACGTTATATGAGAATTGAAAAATTATTTAATTACATGATTTTTTTACATAGAAAGCGTACATAATAAAATTTCATGATTCTACATAGATTTTATTATTATATATCTTATTAATTTTTGTAATATAAATTATGTCTTTTTTTATTTTAGACTTAACAGAACCTCAAAAGCGTGAATCTATGTGAATACATTACAAAAAACAAACATAACATGTAAACTGGAAGATAAAAATAGAAAACTTAAAGCAATAATTAGTCCCTTAACACAAGATTATGAAAAACAATTAAACAATCAAGCAGATATGTTTAAAACTTTAATAGAAAAGGAGAAAAAAAATTGGAAAAAAAAGCTTATTTTGGAAAAAAAAAAATTAAATTATTAAATAGAAAAATAAATCGAAAACGCCATGACTAGACAGCTGACTAAACAAATCTCATTTTTAAGAGAATAACAATTAATGGAAAAATTAATATTAAAATAATATAATTCCAGATCAATAGAATTGTTTTTTATTTTGTATTTTTGTATTTTTATTTTGTAATAATTTTATATTTTTATGTGTAATATAATAAAAATAATGTAAAAATAAAATATAATTGTAAAATGTGCGTATATTTTATTAATCCTTAAAATGTTTTACATACATATATCAATTTTATAAAATTATTTAATAAAAATATTACAAATATTTTTATATATAATTTAGTATTATACATTAGTGTTTTTATATAAAATATTTTGTGTACTATACATAAGCTTAGTTTATTTAAGTTAACTTAGCTTAATAATGTTAATATTATTACTTAATATTATTTTTTTAATAGATTTGTGTTTTCCGGACGAGATACCAGTTAATCGCATTATGTATGTGGT